GGGAGACATCTATGAAATGGCACTGTAAATAGCAGACTTGTTTTAGAGAACTTGTCTTGCCTGCTCAGGATATGTTACCCATGAACTTGGACTTTTCTGTGACTTTCAAAACTGTAGACAGAATCCTGAAGCTCTTTACATATAAGACTTTGTGCCATTCTACTCTGAATTTAGATTATCAGTTTACTCAACCAAACTTGGCTTAGTCCATAGAGACTACTATGACAAAATAACCAACACTGGTTTATATCCAGTGGAAATCTATTCCTTACACCTTGAAAGCTGATAGTTTAGGATTAGGTACACAGTTCATGCTTGCTAAGACCCTACTTGCTCCCTGGTTCATATACTGCTGTTCTGTTGTACCTTCATGAGGCAGAGGAGGGCAGAGAGCTCTTCGACAAGGGCACAGTCCTTACTAATAAGGATTACACTCTCATGGTCTAATTATCTCCCAAGTGCTTCATTTCTTAATGCTGTGTCCTTGGTCTTGGATTTTAGCAATTTGTTAGAAAGTAAATATCTAGTTCATTTTGGACACCATTGAGAAGACTATCAGAAAACAGTGCTTCTATGTTTACTGTAAGCTTTTGGTCATAATATATGGAATGATGCACTTGTGTCCTTAATATAATTTGTGGGTTTTCTATTGCTACAGAAACCACTATGGCATAAGAAAATATAACACATGTAAGGTGCAACTATCATTTTGTAGATGGATCAGAATTCTGGGTATGAATGAACTGAGTCCTTTGCACAGGATGGTACAAAGCTGCAGCCAAACAAAATATTAGCCTGAGTCATGCTCTCTTGAGTACCTGGGGTTCTTTTCTCTTCTCAGATGATGTTGGCCAACTTTGTTCCATTGCAGGATATAAGCATAACTGTAACCTTAACATTGGCTGCTTGAGATTCAAGCACAGCAGAGGTCCTCTGTCCACTAGAACCTCTCAAAACACTTATCTCGTTCCATTAGGTCTACACAAAATAGTCTTTCTTTTGCTTAATTAAAGAATTATTAAGCAATATGACGTTAGTCCCAATGGTAAACTCCTCTCAACTTTGCTCTATTGTGCTATTTAAAGTTAAAGTGCTACAGATACAGGCATATTTCAACTTCAGGGAGAAGGCAATATAAAGACATGGATAACATGAAACATTTTGAAATCTCCCATAGTAGTCTCCGGCCTTCCCCTCTGTGGGCAACTGTGGTTTGTATTTAAAGTCTTTCTTCTGGAAAGTGTTTATTAATATTTGTGGTTATGTAAAAGGGGAGAGGTGTGAAAACAGCCCTGGACTTATGAAAAATCAGGTAGACAAGGCTATCTCAACTGAAGTGTTCTTGGAATTTAAGGTATGAAATTCTTTCTTGTAGAGGGCTGTCCTGTCTGTTTTAAGACATTTGGCAGTAACCCTGGCCACCTTCCTCCAGGGGCCAGGAGTACCTCCATCCTGCTTCCTACAACCAAAACTTATGCTAAGCATTTACATGTATTCTCTTGAATAGAAAACTCTTCCTGAGAGGTCAAAGTGTCACTATTTGCAGATGATATGATAGTATACATGAGCGAACCCAAAGATTCAACCAGAGAACTTCTTCAGCTGATAAACACCTTCAGCAAAGTGGCAGGATACAAAATCAACTCAAAAAAATCAGAAGCCCTCTTGTATACCAAAGACAAAAAGGCTGAGAAAGAAATTAGGGAAACAACACCCTTCACAATAGCCACTAATAACATGAAGTACCTTGGTGTGACTCTAACCAAGCAAGTGAAAGACCTGTTTGAGAAAAACTTCAAGTCTTTGAAGAAAGAAATTGAAGAAGATCTCAGAAGATGGAAAGATCTCCCGTGCTCATGGATTGGTAGGATTAACATTGTGAAAATGGCCATCCTGCCAAAAGCAATCTACAGATTCAATGCAATTCCCATCAAAATACCAACTCAATTCTTTACAGACCTTGAAAAAAAAGATTCTCAGCTTCATATGGAGAAACAAAAAACCCAGAATCTCCAAAACGATCCTGTACAACAACAGATCATCTGGAGGTATCTCCATTCCCGATCTCAAGCTGTACTACAGGGCAACAGTAATAAAAACTGCATGGTATTGGCATAGAAACAGAAAGGAGGATCAATGGAATCGCATAGAAGACGCAGAAATAAATCAACACACCTATGAATACTCAATATTTGACAAAGAAGCCAAATCCATTCAATGGAAAAAAGACAGCATCTTCAACAAATGGTGCTGGACCAACTGGATGTCTACATGCAGAAAAATGAAAATAGATCCATATTTATCACCCTGCACAAAACTAAAGTCCAAGTGGATCAAGGACCTCAACATAAAACCAGATACTCTAAATCAGCTGGAAAAAAAAGTGGGAAACAGCCTAGAACTCATTGGCACAGGAGACAACTTCCTGAACAGAACACCAACAGCACAGGCTCTAAGAGCAACAATCAATAAATGGGACCTCATGAAACTGAAAAGCTTCTGTAAAGCAAAAGACACTGTCATCAAAACAAATAGACAGCCTACAGATTGGGAAAGAATCTTCACCAACCCTTTATCTGACAGAGGGCTAATATCAAGTATATATAAAGAACTAAAGAAGCAGAAAAGCAACAAACCAAGTAATCCACTTAAAAAATGGGGAACAGAGCTAAACAGAGAATTCTCGAAAGAGGAACATCGAGTGGCAGAGAAACATTTAAAGAAATGCTCAACCTCATTAGCCATTAGGGAAATGCAAATCAAAACGACCCTGAGATTTCACCTTACACCCATCAGAATGGCCAAGATGAAAAACTCAAGTGATAGCACATGCTGGAGAGGTTTTGGAGAAAAGGGAACCCTCCTCCATTGCTGGTGGGAATGTAAACTGGTTCAACCACTCTGGAAGTCAATCTGGCGCTTTCTCAGACAACTAGGAGTAGTGCTACCTCAAGACCCAGCTATACCACTCCTAGGTATATACCCAAAATTTGCTCAAGTACACAACAAGGACATTTGTTCAACCATGTTTGTAGCAGCTTTATTTGTAATAGCCAGAACTTGGAAACAACCCAGATGTCCATCAACGGAGGAATGGATACAGAAATTGTGGTATTTTTACACAATGGAATACTACTCAGCAATCAAAAAGGAGGAAATCATGAAATTTGCAGGCAAATGGTGGGATCTAGAAAAGATCATTCTGAGTGAAGTATCCCAGAAGGAGAAAGACAAACTTGGTATATACTCGCTTATATAGACCTACAAGACATGATAAACATAATGAAATCTACACACCTATAGAAGATAATCAAGAAAGTGGACACAAGCGAAGGTGATTAATCCTCATTTAGAAATACAAATGGGATGTGCATTGAACTTATGACAGGAGTCTACCACAAAAGGCATCTGAAAGACTCTACCTAGC